TTCTTCTAGAAGACTAAATTGTTCGCGGGCACAGATTACATATACTGCCTATCCTTCACAGAGCTTGCTTGGCTTAAAGCGTTCGATGCACGAAATCGAATAGAAATGCAAATGACTTGCCGAGATAGTTAATCCTGACTTGTTGAACATTTTTCTCTACTTTCGCTTCATCGGCTTTTTGATGGATATTTGGCGGCCCTGAATGAATAATCACCGCAATGGAGAGCGATTAAACCAGTGCGTGTGTTATTCGATCTGTCGGTTTTTTTCCTCCTCCATCACGTGCATTCGTTGTCAGTTCGTGTACGATTGGTTTTTATCAAGTTCATTATGGCTATTTTTTCTTGGTCTTTGTGTGCAGGTGATAACACCGGATTTTGTAGGTCGGATGAAGGTCAGTATGTGTGTTTGTGTAGTCATTGTATTGATCGAATCGCCTTATTCTAAGAGTTGATAGACTTACGCAATTACAGCCGCCAATATCCGTACGGTTCAATCCATAGCCTTCACTAGTAAGTACTCTGCCTTAATAAGACTCAACTATGACAAAAGAGAGAGACAGAGAGAGGCACAGTAAAGACCACGTTCAGAAGTAACCACCACAGCGTCGGTCTTGTTACAATGCAGGAGCAAGTTGGCCCGGCAGTTGGCAACCTTCCAGGCCAGGACTGTTGGTGCGTCGTAATGTGGTTACCAGTGTGTTAACTTTCTTGCAGTGAGACAGCTGTTTTGCTGCTTCTTCATGAAGAGGTGTACTTAAAAATATATTCTGATCCCCATTCCCTCTATCCTGCGTCACTGGCGTGTCCAAGCCTGTCATCTGATTGGTCCAGAAAACAAGTTTATGAATACCTTTTGTTCTTGTCTGCCTTGCGTAACCAAGGGAATATCCGACTGGAGATATTTAAACCCCTTCAGTTTAAGCAGTCACTTCATACCGACGCACTAAGGCATAATAGCGGTTCTTTCGGCGTATGTGTGGGCATTTTTTAACTGGAAATTAGTATGTAGGTGCCATAACCCTGACCATATGACTCCTGAAAGCAACGATAAGCCTTCGAGTCGTAACGACCCATTTTGTAAAAAAACATTTTACCGCGTATTACCTGGTGCCTTTGCTGTTATAGCCCTGAAAAGTAAATGGGCCAAAATCACCCTTCGGATCAAAATTATGTGCATCCCCCAATTATTTATGCAGCAGTCGAAGCCAAACATAGCATACTTCTATAATAAACTGAATATAATGGGATATGGACTGTTCATTCGATTGATTAATGCAGGTCTGGGGTAATGGGAAGGTGCTGCTTCTTTTTGCGTGTTTCCGACCCCCATGTCACACCAAGCAGGTTTTTTGCAAGGTCGCGTGAGCGAGGCGTTAACCGATTTTGTCTGCGACGCGATATACGCTTTGCATTAGGCCTTGAAACTTTGGGTGGGTTATAGTTTGACATCAAAGGCAAGCGAGGCATAGGTAGCCATTGAAATTTCCCTCATCATTGTTGGTAATATTTCGCCGACACGGATTGGTCCTCGCTATGTGGCTGCCTGTGAGCCTCCTAACCTGAAGCTACCGTGTTC